GGAACTCTTCTTTGCCACTTTGGACAGTAGGATATAAATTTAAAGTGACCTGTTGCTTTTATAGGGATCATTTTCATACAGATCTATAATCACAGTGAAAAGCTAGCATTATTATATGGTTACCACTTCAGCTGACTCATGGCTTGGTTGGTTCATACAACAAAGATCATGAACATTTTAATATATATATATACACCATAACCTATTTGGATTTTGCTTCCCAAGCACTACCAAGCCTCAATAAGCAAACCAGTAACCAGCCTCATGCTGATGAGTTGCATTAACAACGAAACAGCTGTCCATGAGTGGTTCACTGGTTTTGCATCTTTTCCTAAATTGTGTTCTAATCAGTTGTATACTGCAAACTCAGACTAAAAGAAATCCATGTTTAAAATGGAATGAGGCAAAAATTTGATTCTTTGTTAAACTCATTTGCATATGCCCACCCAGAATCCTTTGCGGTTGTAACATCACTGCAGATTTGAGATTTCTGTGGGAAAAGCAAGTCTTTTGGCTTGACTGGTGTGCAGATTTTTGTTTAACATTGTATTAACTATATATATATATATATATATATATATATATATATATACACAGTGGATGAATAAATGTAAATGTAACACAATTAAATATTATAGCAAACCTCGGCGGGAATTACAGCAATTTGATTGTGTCCATATAGAGATGTCCAGAATAACGGAGACGCGTATCAATATATTGGTAAATAGTAACATGTTCCTATTAAAGGCCCCACCCTTGTCTTTGGAACAGTGTAAGTCCTGTATGATGTTATTGTATACCTAAACTGTGTGGTGAGATATTGGACAATTCTTCAAGCATTACTGCATTCTGTTCTTTCAGGGAGGAAGAAGATAGAAATGTACTCAACAATCTGATTCAGGCATCACATAAAGTTTTAATGGTGATTTGAGAGAAAATGAAAGATGTTTGAAATCCTTCTAGTGTTCATCATCCAGCAATATGAGAACATTACAAGGTCACAGCGGTTAAAATATAAAGTTTACCTGCTTCTGTAAAATGATCCCATGTTCCATAGCTGTTACATGACTAACCAAACCAACAGTCATGTGACCTGACTTTCCTAAGACATCTCTGCTTTTCCCATCATGGATCCCCAGTATATCTAACCATTGGCAACCTGTACTGGGGGCTGAATGCACCATTTGACTTACTCCAAACATAAACCCATCTAGAAATTGAAAGGAGGGTGAAAGCCTACTGTGGTTACGCCTAAATGGTTCGAGGGCTCCTCTCTCCTTCCTCATCGCCCTGCAATGGAAAAAGAGAGAAGTACTGATGTAAGTTTCTTACCCTTTCTCCTCCTCTCTTGTCTCCTGTCCCTTTCTTCACTTCTCCTGCTACTCTAGGTTCTACCCCAACAGTATCCTTTTTCTCCTATGCTTCTTTTCAATTTCATCCCTTTCCCCTATCATCCCCCTCTATTATCACACCTTCACTATCCCCTGTACCCTATCAGCCCATAGCATTTATATAACATTAACATATTTTACAGTGCATTCCATTTTGTATGTGGGGAGGTAACAGGAAATAAGGCAAACTATTACCCATGTTACCAATAATAAGTGGTTAATGAGGACATTGCTTGAATTTATTTATAATCTACAGGGACACTGTAATATATCAAAATAATTACAATCCAAAAAATAAAGAGGTGATTAACTATTTACCTTTATCATTTAGAGTATATGCGTAACAGAACAGGTACATGAACATGCAAGCAAATACAGTAATAATGTTAAACATAAGAGGCAAAGCATGTCAGATTGAAGCTCACTGACACACAAATATGTCTGTGTCTGGTGACAATATTTTTTTAAACCTACAAGCACTCTAATAAATATACAAAACAAAATAAAGCATGAAGAACATTGAATAGCATGCAGAAACATTTATGAACTTACTATAAACTTAGTTAGATTGCATTGTTGGACAAGCTTCTCAGCTAGGGGAGACATTGCAAGGTGAGACAATCTTCCAACTGCACATGTGTAAATCTGTCAGGTATGCCCAATGCACTTTCAGCATTCCTAGGGATAGGACACTGATTTCGTAGATCAGTGACCCCCTGAAATGGGTGTGCAAAGAAACAGAAAGAAGAAGCAGGTAAATATGTCATATTTACCTGCTTTTTTAAGTCTTCAGAATGAGACAACTGTCTCATTCAAAGTGTAAGCTTTTGAATGAGACAGTTGTTTCACAGTGATTCATGTCCCCTTAAATGCCTTGATTTCTTGTCTAAATTCACTACTGTTAACCTTTCGTGCAACTCAATCACACAGTCATTAAAAACAAAAATATATAAAACACTCTATATTGTAATTTCTTTCAACACAAATATGAGTATGGAGAAATTTGATGATAGATTCCATCAAGCATTTTCTATACAAAGTTTTTTTTTGGAAGATACATAGAATGAAATGGTAAAACAAAAAAAAAAAGCCAGTTAATCAGAAAACAGGAATCAGAATCAATAGAAAATGATTAAAATGACTTTTAAAGTGGCACTGTCAACATGAAATGCCTACTTTGAACGTGTGGTAACTTGTTCAGTGTTTTACTTTTCTTATAAATAATAACATTCAACCTATATTCTTTGGAACTCAACCTTGTGGCATCTCAGGCACACAATTATATCTTTATTTTTCATTCATAATAATATACTTGAACTAAATATACTAAATATACCAATGCGTGTTATTTTAATTACTTCAATCGGGTATTATAATAAGTATAAAATGCCTTGTTTTTCTTTAAAAAATAGTTATAGTAGGATTGGAAGCCTGCCTAACATGAAAAGAAGTTGTATAAATTGAAGTGTATCACTTAAAGAGACTTCAAATCTCCTGACTCGTATAAGAAATATCACCCACCATACAGAGTTGTCATTTTCCTATTGAATGATCTAAAGATATTTCTAGTGGATAGTTATAATTTATTATTTACAGCGGCTCAATCAGTGCACGCTAAACATTAATCAATATAACCTCTGTATTTTTGATGACTGCAGGTCTGGTAAGAAAAGCTAAAACTGATTCTATGGCGAGGAACAGAAAAGTCTAAGTGTTTTAAGAGGAAGTATAAATAAGGAGAGTGTTTCACGACTCAGTAACATAGTCGGTGCATTTGTATAAGTAACATCATAGCATTGTTAGGGTGTGGCTTCAGGAGCTAAAAACCCAGATTTGTGAGCCTTTGTAGTCCCTTCTTTGCCTATGTATTATGTAAAAAGAAATCCTAGTATTTGCACATCACCAGGCTTCTAGAAGAGAGGGGGCAGAATCTCCCCACAGGTAACATTTCTTCTTCTTTACACTGGAACGGGGCTTGTGGGGTTGTGATAAAGAACTGCCGTGCATGTTTCCTGTTATGATAGCTAGGTGCAATAATGACACTCTGTCATTGATGCGCCCAATTCTCTATGATGCTGGTACCTCCACCCCTCACCCCTGTACAGTAATAAATACTAGGGTTCAGGGTACATGGAAAGAGAGACATACAAAATGTTTTGTATGAGACGGGGGGAGAGTAACAAAATATTGATTAAGGGAGATGCTCAGATAGATACAAAGTGGGTAAAGGAGAGGCACCACAGGTATGATGCCAGATATAGTTTAGAGAGACAGGACGGCAAGAGCTTTGGATGTGCTATTGTACATGTAGGTTTTGTAACCTAGTAATGTCCCTGGTCAACATAAGAGCGATTCAGCAATTTTGTAACCTAGATTGTGTCTCTATCAAGTTTGACTTCACACTTCACACTGCAGCTTTTTTATATTGTATTCATTACAAACATTACTCACATGTGCATTTGTCTTAATGACAGTTCCTCTTGTTCAAACTTCATTAAATACAGAGGAGGCAAATGTAAACACATTTACCTTTACCGATCCAGGATTGGGTGTTCAATGATGGGTCACATGCACTGTGGGCGCGTTTGCTGGACTTGCTGAAGAATAGCCTGCCATTTTGATGTACCAGTAAATAATAATGGATATTATTATTAGCAAAACAAACAACCTATGTTTCCAAGCTAATTAAATGGTTTGTTAAATAAAGGTTGGCATTTCCTAATTCTTAAACTAGCCAAATGCCTCATGCCTTTTTACTGGTAGAACATGCAACTACCTGTACTGAATCACCAATGTGGGGGACATGTGAATCATGGTGGAATTAAAGGGAAACTGTCACAGCTTACCTACCCCTCCACTCCCCGCCGCAATCTCATCAAAGAGGTGGGTGTTACACTTCTGTTACTCTACTACTTCACTTTTCACTAATTTGCCCTGCTTGGGTAAAGTTCCCCAAACAGAACAAACCTCATCCATGACGCCGACACTCTGGTTTCGTTGCCAGCATGCTGGCGTCTGAACGGAGTGACGTCATGTCATTCAGTTCCTGCACTCCCTATCAGCACCAGCTCGGAAGTTACCGTAGCAACCACAAAACAAGCACTGTGATGGGTGGACAGCAGAGGGACATACTGTGAGATATTTCCTCTGCTCCCCATGCCTCTCAATTCTCAATAAATCTTTTTCTACAAATTTATACATCAAAGCTGCTAGCACAATGTATAGATGGAATTTTAAGCTTTTAAAAAAAAGCTAAAGTCAATAGGGACAGGTCAGGTTCCCTTTCACTCTAACAATTCTCAAATGTTGGAAGACATATATGGCAACTTACCTCCCTTAGTGTCAAATAACCTTGTCATGTTATTAAAGAACTTTCACACCAATATAAGCCATATAAGACAACTTTTACAGCCATACAGGAGTAAATTAAAAATACTAACCCTTACCTATAAAACTCTAAACAACTCTAGCCCCTCTCACATTTCTTCACTGATTCGTAGATATACCCAATCTCGGTCTCTCCGCTCAGCCGGTGACTTTCTTCTGTTGGCTGCTCGCACTCTTACTGCTAACTCGAGCTTGCTGGACTTTTCACAGGCGACTCGTTTTCTTTGGAACAGCCTAACCCCATTAGACTCTCCCCTAGTCTTTAATCATTTAAGAAGTCCCTAATACCCATCTGTTCAAAGTAACTTCTATGTCACTTATCTGTCTCTTCCTCTCTCCTAAAGAGCCACACTCCACTCTCACCTCCAGTTATGCTACTTTTCCACCTTGTTTGCTTGCTGTCTCCCTTGAAGCCCTTCCTATTGTGTCTTTCTACCGCACTTCCTCCAGATTGTAAGCTCGTTTGAGCAGGGTCCACATCTACCTATTGTTCCTGTAATATTAAATGTACCCCTTTCGGAATATTGTAAAGTGCTGCGGAATAGGTTGGCACTATATAAATACCAATAATAATAATAATAATCATTTTTTTCTATCCAGTTTATTTATTGTAATGGAAGAGTTCACTAAATAACAGAAACTCTACCCAGAGTTGACATCTCTGACTTTTATATATCTGTATATATTATAGCAGTCAGAGATAACAACTATAGGCAGAGTTTCTGTAAGGTAGAGAACTCTTCCATTATCTGAATTTAAAAAAAATGAAATATCAACATAAGAAGAAGAACTGACCTATATATATTTATATATATAGTGTTTCCATATTTACTATTTTATCTTACTGTCATAATGCAGATGTATTCCAGTCCAATCATGTTGTCATTGCTCATTATTGTTACCAGTCTATGTGTTAGCTCCTGCTTTATAGTACAAATCTATTTTCCTTTATGTAATTAAATCTCTGGAACTGCAATGTTTTACATTGCAGCACTAAGTGTAAAAGGGTCACAGCAACCAGATTACTTCAATTAGCTAAAGTGGTCTGGGTGCCTACACTGTCCCTTTAAGTATTAAAAAATAAGAATATCACTCATAACTATTTACATTGGTGTCTTAGTTTATAGTTTATCTAATGGCATCTTTTTGGGGTCTTTTCACTAACTGCCATGCTACCCCAAAGCCCCTTAACTCTATAAGTATGTCCCAACTCTAAATCACCCACAAATTATAACTTTGTATTAGTGTAATCTGCCTATTTATTATTTTTTTGTAACATAAAATTAATTTGCTATTTGACTACAATTGAGTTGGGATCCAATTGCAATTTGGTTGAGGTATAAATAGCCATTAGATCTGTTTGAAAATAGTAGGTATCCATTCAGTTAAATTTGGTTAGCATTAAGTTGTTAATGAATAGAATGAATCATATAGTGAATTTAATAACCAAATGCAGATTAATTGAGCTGAATGAAATTTCCCAAAATATCAAATTCAAATTCAGCGTTTAATGAACAGACCCTTTAGTTTCATGTTTATATTATGAAAAACATATTTTTTCTTAGTAGTTGATTGCATTTTTTTTGTGTGTGAATTTATATGTTATGTAATTGCCATGCATACATATGCAACCCACAAAAATGTGAAGTCTTAATGATATTGACTAGTTAATAGGTCAAAGAAAAAAACCTGGGGTTTTATAGAAAAGTTTCCAATTACAACAGAAACAATAACAAGATACATGTGAAACACTTAGACTTTTAAAATGTGCAATATCAACACTGTATTGTTTTATCTGTGGACACGCTGTTAAAGTTAGCAGACATTTTCTCAGGTTTTGGTCTTAGTTATGTCTTGTGACCTAGTGTCCTGCACTGCAGACATACAGGAAGTTGCATTACTGTTAAGATTACAACATGGCAGTTTCTTCTTCGAACCCCCAAGAGGCCATCTTTAAATTTACGTTCATTTTCACAGCAAATGAAAATGCGAATACCTTGGAACCAGATGTCCTACAGATTTTGGAGTAATTTGATCAAGCTTTATGGAACCCCAAGAAATCCCTAACTTAACAGTGCTGTTTTTTCCCATAAAGCATTGCTATGTATTCGCAATCTCTACGGACTGCAAAAAATTAATGAAACAAAACAAAAGATAAACCAATCATTAATCAATTTTAATAACTGTAATGATTATCAGAAAAGAAATGCTTCAGTCGAAACCTAGCTTCAGGGTTTGCACTCAATATTTCTTTACATAGTTAATTTGTAGGCTTTATGGTATCTGCAGGGGCGATTTGTGCAGGGCGTTAACAATATATTTCAAAGTGAAAAATCCCACTGTATTGGTGTGTGCCCTTAGCCATTGCATGGTGGTTCGTACAGTAACATAGGAATGGGTTATATGCACAGCGCTAATTCTCTATATGATTAAATGCAGAATTGGCTCTTCCTGCATTGCCACAGCCTGTTACTTGCAATGTTCCTTGATCCATTCAGACAGCCTGTGCTTTGCTCCATGTAATCAGAACTTTCTTTTCACGCAGTGCTTCCCTGCATTCAAGATTCTTTCTACATCACTGCTTCGGGAAGCTTTCGTCAGAAGTGATATCACTCTCCTCAAAGGAGGTGTATTAGACTTTTTTATTTTGTTTAGCGTATAGCTGTAAAAATAAATAAAATCACGCCACATATATTGTAAAGTATATGAAACTAATTTAGATAAAGGAAAGTTAACAGTTGAACAGAAAAAATGTCTACTGATGTTTAAAATGGATGTCAAATTATTCTTTATTTAAATAAATATGTTTCATTTAATCTTCAAAAAATATATTATTTTCACCTAAAGAAACTAAAGTAAATTCAGCTGCCATTATTGCTTGATAATCAGCCAATTTTTCACATTTTTTCCAAATAGTTCATTTTCCAGTTGCACATTTGATATTAGCAGCCAATCAGTGTCTGAGAACTGCATATTTGATCTGATTTGCTTCCGTTGTATCACAAACGTATATTAAAGGTATAATAAAGGTATATTAAAGATCCTATTCAGAAGGATCCACAAAAGATATGGATACTTTTTAAAGTGTAATATTATTATTATTATTGCCATTTATATAGAGCCAACAGATTCCATAACATGGGGCAATGAAAGTGTCTAAACAGAGAGTCATGAAAGCATTGCTAAAATGCATTAATATCGATCAGGAGTCCTACATATCAGGAGTCCTACATTCATATAAAATAATGGCTTAAATGTTCCATTTTCTCATATCCTCTCAACAAAAGAGCCCGCTTACTTCAATCATTACATACATACAATTAATTTTAAATTATATTATTTAAGGACATGTTTTCTGTGTTCGTGTTTCACAGTCTTTAAACTCATCATGTCTATAGGGAGCAGGCACGTGTTCTTCAAAAAACAAATGACACTTTTTGAAATTGATTGCACGCTGGTTGACCCACTATTTATATGTTAAAGCTGCTGTAAAATTTCAGATTATTTTATATTTAGCATGGCAATATGTCTAAATAAATAATGGCTACAGCCTGAGTCAAGCACTCACTCCAGCATATTAAACATCAACTCTGCTACAATTATCCTGCTATGCTCGAGTTTTTAAGGCACACTCCGTCCTGGAGCTATTTGTTAGCCCACAATTTCAATGCGTTCTGGAAGCTGTACATTAAACATGCAAAAAAAAAGAACATTAAAAAAACAACAAAATGTACAAAATATACACCTCTAAATGTTTTTTATTTGTAACAAAATTATGATCTGCAACTTCGGCAGCGATGCATGCAGACACCTGAAAGCCACTGAGATCTTTCAGTCATTCCTCAAACTTTTTCAGTGGTGCATTTTCCATTTCCCATGATTCCCTGTGCATTGGAATCCTGTGGAATATGTAGTACAGCTCTCAGCATTCTAGAAAGACAGCTGAGAGAAGCAAACTACTTATACAACTGAAATATGAAAAAACAAACAAGTACAACTGAATCTACTTGCACACATTAGCAAAAGCTCTTGATTGTATTTTAAATTTGTGAAAGTAGCTTTATTTAAAAAAAAATTTAATTATAAATATTTTATTGTTTTCTTGTATTTTTAATGTACATAAAATAAAATATGCATTCACATACATAGAAGAACATATCATAATCATAGTATACATATTGTCTCGTTTGCAATTTTTACTTAGAAAAGTATTTAAAGCTATTACATGCTCAACTATCAGACTTACCAATTACATGAAAAACATAATTACATGCTGGCAAGGAGTAGTTTGGGGGTCCCTGTCTCTTAAATTTAATGCTCACTAGCATGTGAATAAAGCATGTGTACATGTGTACTCAAAAACATCGGCCTATCTATACGTACGTACACTATATACTTTTGAACACAGGTTTTGCCTACCTATCCTAACTTCATTTTATCCATTTTATCATGAATTAAATTATTCATGGTTAGGTCCACATCTCACTAAAACATATAAGAGGGCTAAAGGCATCCCATTAGTCACAGCACTGCAAAGTTTATGGTACATGTACAGCTGTATTTGTTCCTTTAAATGTCTTACGCTATGACGCATTTTTTGCAACGCAACAATGCATCTGCCATCATGGAGGAAAATAGGATGTTTTATTCCCGTGCATGTTAAAGCAAAGAATAAGCATCCGTTTTATCTGCACTCACAATGAACCCTCATGGTACGTACATTATTATTCCTATTTGGGTAAACCTGCTGTTATTCAGAATAATAATCTTAGTGATGGGTAACATCTGGCATTGTACACTGCTCTGGACTGCAACTCCTCTTTATTGATCAGTCGTATGTAGTTATTTATTTGCCGACTTAAAATGAGCATAGTGATTTCTAACTTTACTGCCTAAATCCATCATATTCACTAAGTATGCAATAAAACTATATAACTTGTGTATCTACAGGATTATTTATTAAGTAGTGAATTGCTAGGAATTATCGAGGGAATCATTTTAGACCGAAATAGCTTAAGAAAATAACTGTGTTGGAGAGTTTTTTCATATTCAGTTATTTTTTTATCTAAGATTTTATTCCTGTCAAATTCATACAGTTTATTGAGTATGCCTGTTACAATTGGAAAATATTTTTTTTCAAACTCATCCCGCAACCTTCATAGTTATTCAAACTTGATAGTTCCTCCATCATTGACCAGTTATAGCTATGTGTTTCATGGCTAAAAATTTGGATTTATAGGCTAAATTTAGTTTAGCATTGCACTGCAAGTAGTAATGTTTAAAAGGGTTAAGATTTATGTAGAAAAAGTAGCACAATAATAACATTTACAAAAATAATAAATGAGGTATGCAAGTTCACCAAAGTTGACTATCCCTCCCCTGCCTGGAGATAATGCTAGTAGTCAGTTGAAAATTATATAGAGGATATATAGCTAATAAGAAAACAAAAATTATAAAAAAGGTATATAGCAATATG